AGGCACAGACAGCTGAACAAGAGATGTGAAACACGATGCAAAGGTGCTCCTGAAGAAAAACACCACCAAAGTTCCATGACAGAGTCAAGAAGGATATAAACAAAATATCCACTGAGTGAATGAGAAACTTAAGAGCCTGTTTTATGATTTAGTAAGAGTTTTACGGCACTTCGAACACAATATGGTCATATAAGTGCCAAAGATTAGAGGTGCTACAAGTGAGCAACAAACACAAAAAAGGAGGGGAGATAATGATGACAGATGTTTGATATGAAAGAAGGAGCACACCACACCAGGGCCCCCCTGCCAACCACCCACCGAAACTCAACAGCCTTAATCTATATGATAAAATTGTAACATGTACAGAATTTTAATCAAATACCAACACATAAACAAGAACAAAATCTGGTAGATTTGTTGCAACTTGTAGTATTTTAAAAAAGGTATTGATAAAGGAACAAATTAAGAGTGGCTGAACACTCACTCAAGTACACTGTTAGAAAATTTATGACAGTAATTACAAACAAGAATTAATCCGAAACATCATCATATAAAGAACACAAGATACAAATGTATCAATTATTCAAAACTAGCTATTCAGTATTCAATGGTGTTCTGTAAATAGGCCAAGTTGGTTCCGAAGGCTTTTACTTATATTTAATCATGTATCAGTAAAAAACATGCATATATATATATAAATATATTAAAACAATACTTGCATACCCAAAACTTGTAAATCAGCTGAGGGCACTTGAGGCCATTTGGCATCTTCCATTAGCTAGAAGAGCTAAACTGTAAGTGAAAATGGGGTAAACTTAACAGGAATTTTCTGGTCCCATGGAAATGTAAACAATGCTGATTTCTGAACAATGTAAAGCTGTGACCACGGTTTGTTGAGGCAAATGGCAAAAGAAAACAACAATCCCTTAAAGATAAAACCAAACCAAAACTTTCCTACTCCCACCACACCTGGTATGGGGGCTTTCGTGGCCTAGAGGTTAAGGTGTTGGCCTCTCATTCAAAGGTCCCGGGTTCGAATCCGGGTAGCGACCGAAAAATTTGCTTCACTAAAATTGTCTCCTTTCACCTCCTTTCCTGCTCTCTAGCAATGTTCTGTTGTCTGCTTTCATTTCCACTTTCTGCCCCCATCCCCTCACCTCCTTTGCCCCCTCCTCTGGGCTCCTGGCTCTTTCTGCAGCCTTTCTACTGCTACTCCTTGGCTCTTCCTCACTGCTGTCTTTCAGCCACACCCCTGATCTTCTGGTAGGAAAGATCTACACCTAGCCTTCTCGGACAAGGGCAAAAAATCTCGGAGGGCCAGTGTGCAAGTTGCACACTTTAAAGATCCCTTGGTAGTCTAAAATCGATAAGAGTAGGCTTCGGCCGCCACCCGGGCAAAATTTAAAAGTATTAGATGTGTCCCGCGCGCTCATATGACCTTATGCAGTTGCGAGCGCTGTAAAACACTTTACAAAAACAAAACACCTGGTATCCCTTGTTCTACCCCCAAACAGTCATCCCAGAAAGCTCACTCCTCAGCCAGTCCTACTTCAGCAAAGTGCACTCTACACACACACATAATATATATATATATTCTGATATCTCTTGCACTAAAGCATTCAGAGGTATGTATCGTCTGCCTTTGTCGTCATTCATGCTCACAGGACAGTGCAGTCTGTAGTTGGCTTTACAGCAGACTGTTCTGTCCTCTTTTGTGCACCACAGTTCTGTGTCTAAAACATCAGTAGTATTAGGGTGTTTGAACGAAGAAAAGAATGCAAACGTAACTATCAGCCAGCTTCATCACAAATCTCAGTCACCGATACAGGAAAAGGAAAAGATCCATACAAAAGGAATAGAGACTTGTCGATACAACTTGCATGAGGTACATGTACTTTTCAACAACTGCTAGCTGAACACTGAAATGATAATAAAAAGGTTTTAGCCAACTTTTTCACAGAAAAAGGTGTTGCTACGGTTCTGACAAAACCATGACAATGCTGTGAAGAGATAAGGCCACTGTACTGCTTAACACATGGCATAGATATTCTGAGTACACAACACACTCACAATAAAAAAATTTTAAAACATAGGTCATTGTTACAACTTGCAGACTTGTTTCAAAGAGAGTAATATGAACATTATGATACCCATATTATATGGACAGCACTAGGCACAATGATGCAACAGAGAGGTTCAACAGAGAAAAATGATGAAAGATGTGACCAACAGCAGGCCGTCTCCAACACAGGATGTGGGTTTTTTCACATTCATGCTTACTCAGCGATTCAGAAGAAAAATTATAACATGCTGATGAGATCAACACATTAGAATATGATACATTTCCAAATACACAGCATCTATAATCTTGAACCAATCGCTACACACATTCACTGAGCCTCCACACAGCTGAGAAAGACTCCACTAGTGGTAAAAACTCAGCACAAAATTGCACCTTAAAGTAAAGAACATCCTGGCAGGGATAAATAGAAAAGAAAAGAGTCAATATCAAGCCATGCAGTTTTTGAAAGGTAAAAGCTGAAATATGGAACAAATGGTTTGAAAAATAGGTCACTTTAAAAATAAATACACCTCTTGTGACCATGGAAAACCCAAGTTCAAAGCGCCATGATTTCAAAACAGGAACTCACCCATCAAATGACATTCATTTCATGAACTCCCTATACATAGAAATAGCATTGCAATCTGAATCAACTCATTGTGCAACATATTATGTGACCTAGCGCTGAGCTTTAGAAGAAAAAGAAAGCTCTGTGGTAGACAGGACAACATTCAATTCTGAGCTCATACCAAAACACTCAACAATAATAATGAACATTCATCAACTGGCTACAACCAAATCAGTGGGAGAGAACATTTTGAGAAAACAACACCAGTGTTATCAACCACTGCAAACATACGGGTGCAAAGTACTGACAAGTTTTGAAATTTGGCAGCATAACACTCAAAGTGGGAAAAAAAACTAACAGATCCGTAAAGAAATAGTGAAGTCTTGAAAACCGAGTACAAATATGACTTAGGAAGCTGACATCAGTATGTGCCGCTGGACCCCTCAGAAGGAGATGGACAAAACACCCTCAGATTACTCTTAACATTAAAATCTTGTGCAGACAAACATTTTTAATTTTTAAGATTTTCAAACAAGAAAGAACCCCACATTTGATGAAGAACCGATAGAAAGGAAATAAAAGAGCAAAGTGAATAGCCAACCCATTTGTTCTAATGTTCACTGCAACTATTCAATTTATTTAAAAGTTAGCGCTAATTTTCAGAATTACAAAGACAAGACTTGAGACTTGCAAAACTGTTGACACGGTCCCTCAGTTTCAGCTGGGTCAATTTGTCTGAGAATCTCTGAATAAAATTTACATTAGCTTTGCACAAAGCCGTGAATTTGTACAAGGTGTTGAAGCACAAAATTCAAAGAATTCCTGTCCGAAGCACAATGAGAATGAAGTAACGAAACAGACATAGCAGAAGAATTCCCTGTGAGGTTTAAGCATCTCTACTAGAAAAAAAATATTCGCAGAAAACTACAACATCATCACAATCCATTTTCACAAACATAAGAAAGTACAAACCAAAATCAGGGGCACAAAGAACAAGCTGAACTTCTCAAAGAGAGCAAAGTAAAAAACACCATTCAGAAATATAACAAAGATGCGTAATAACACTCAAAACATAAATAAAATCTTTAAAAATGTACCTCATGACACAATTAGGGACCAAATATTTAGAACTAAAAAAACCCAAAACAATTGAAAGTAAAAGTATGAATACACCAAGATACTGTACATGGTTTTTACGACATCAAAAAATAAAACAAATGAAGACGCACAAAGTAGAGCCCTAACATTAAATATTGTTCTCAGATAATAATAAGGTACAGCAAAATGGTCCCTTTTTCCATGTCCGTCCTGAGAGCAGTTTTTGAAAATTTGTTTAGCTTTTACGGCATTTTTTCTGGCCTTCGCTATACATCCCAAAACCCGCTGGCTATGCAAACAATTTAATCAAAAAACACACACTTTTCCCACCTACATAGACATACATGAACAGAGTTGAACAGAACTTGTGAGACAATAAGCTTAAATATTCAAACGCACTTCTTTTAGTTCAAGGTGAATGCTGCTATGAACATAAAGACTGGATACTTCTTGAGCTTATTTACATATATTCTTTATCCACCTTGGAATTGCAATGGGTTTTTGTTTTTTTTAAAGTTTAAGTCAGGTCATGAGCAAAAAAAATGTATCAGTTAGCTAGATCATTTAGCTTGACATATATCACACTTAAAGCTCAACACACCATCGTAGAAGAGGAGGAGAAAATGCAAAAAGACTTATCACAGAAGTCGTTCTCTCCTTGAACCAGCATACATGAACAAGAACAAACTTTCTCATAGATCTGTAAAAATTAATAGGTACACATTACTTCTTTTTACATCAAGAGTCAAACAGATTAAGAGACATTGACAGAGAGTGTGTGTGTGTGTGTGGAAGTACAACAAGTCTGTCCATTATGTGTGTGTGTGTGGGGGGGGGGTGTATGTATGTGTACATGTGCCTGTATTAGTGAATGCGTGAGTGCACACATATATGTGTGGTGTGTGTGTGTGGGGGGGGGAGAGGAGATGAGGGAGGCAGAGAAACGTAGATACATGTAGAGTGAGAACATGAGATAACCAGTATGAAATCACAGAAACAACTACATGAACGCTCTGCTGTTGAATGGTGAACAAATAAACAGTCCTTTCAGAACAGAGCAAATCCAACATCAGTGATGTAAAACAACAGATGGTCTCACTTGAAGGCAGCATCACTTACGAAATAGATTGGGTAGACCTGTCTATTACCCTGGCACAGTTTGGCTGACTGCATAATAGAGCTCTCCCATCCCTTGCTAGAGAGGAAATCACATGCAAGAGGGGGGAGATCCTGTGCATAACAGACACAGGCCGACCACAGAGCATGATATCCTTTTTTCCCTTTTCAAAAAGACGACGGAATGAAATATCCATGCTTGAAAATCTCGGCTCCACGGAGAGACAACAACCATTAGAAAGACGAGCATCACAAGTTGCCTTCATCCATGAGTTTGGTCAAGTCTTCCACAATGGAGTCCATTAGGGGCTTATACTCCTCTGATGTGAACACAGCATCCAACAGTTCCGGCTCATAGAAAGTGTGGAAGACTAGGTCCACCCGCGACTTAGATTTGTCCGTTAGGTGGCGCTCTATGATGCTCTGCAGCAGCTGCCGGCACTCCTCCACATTCTTCCTCAGGAACGCCTTGTCATAGGTGAAGTCGACCTGCGGGGAAATACCAGGCGTCAACATGAAGTAAACTCAGACACCATCACAACTTGATTAAACTTATCCCCCCAACTATTTTCTTCCTAAATATTATCACAAACAGCTTCAGGCAAATCTTGTTTTCTATAATCCCAAAAGAATTCATAATTAAGAACCATTGTGAATTATCATTGTGTGTCCTATCACCACTACTATTTATCATATACATAGATAGAATTACAAAAGAGGCCAACACAGAACCAGACACCCTAAATGAATTACTCTTCACTGACGACCAAAGCCTGGCACACAAAGATGAACAAAGTCTCCAACACTACACCACCAGATTAAATGAAGAATGTAACAACTACCTCATGACGATCAACATCAACAAAACAGACAATGAAAGTAAGCAGAAATCCAGGACCACTCAGGCAGGATACACATCAACAACAACAGTCTCAGACAGGTCCAAGAATTTAAGTACCTCGGGAGTACATGTATATTCACAGAGGATGGGCGACTGAACAGAGAAATTGAAACACCAGTACAAAAAAAGGCCAATAATGTTAGTTACCAGCTTGCTTCACGACTGAAACATCCTAACATCCCCATGACAACAAAACTCAAAATCATCAACACCATATTCATCCCAACACTCACCTATCAATGCCAAACATGGACCACGAACAAGACATTAGAGCAAAGAATATTACAACATGTGAAATGCAATGTCTTAGAAAAGCAGTGAAAAAGACCAGGCGAGACAAAATTAGAAACTCAGTAGTCAGAGAAATGGTGGGCACAAACGATGTCATGCATCACATCCAACACCAAAGAATCAAACAGTTCTGACATCTCATGCGATTACCAACACACCATCCAGCACAACGTGCCTACATAAAAAAATGCAGTGGCAACAAGGCTAGAGGGCGACCGAGAAAGACCTGGATAGATGGAGTCAGGGAAACACAAACAACTCAAGAAATCCCCTTGACCCAAGCTCTCCGGCTGGTGGCAGAGAGATCTCTTTCTTCCCACAACACCCAACAGGGTATAAGCGGCAGATAAAAGTAAAGTAAAGTAAGTGAACAATCATTAATTCACAATCACATACAGTCAAACCTGTCCACAGTGGTCACTCAAGATCACTGAGAAAAGTAACTATAATAGACAGACGACCAGTATGGGATGGTTCAGAGACATGGAGGCTCACAGCATCAGCAGCAAGGAAACTGCAGAGCTTCATAAATGGATGTCAAAGAAGGATAGTGGGGATCAAGTGGTCCGATCGAGTTACAAATGCTCAACTGTAGGAAAGAACAAGCCAAAGGCCAGTAAAGGAAGACATTCAGGTGAAGAAATGGAAATGGATTGGGCACACCCTGAGGAGACCCCTGACAAGCATCATCAGACGGGCTTTGATATGGAATCCACTAGGAAAACGTAAGAAAGGAAGGCAAAAAATTACATGGAGGCGAGCGGTACAAGCGGAAATGGAAAAGGCGGGGACATCATGGAAACAGCTAGAAAAGGATGCACAAGACAGGCTTCGCAGAAGAAATGTTGTTGATGGCCTATACTCCACTGTAAGTTAAAAAGGGCAAGAGAAAGAGACCAGTAAGGACAGGGTCTGACTTACGGTCACTTAAAACATCATGTATGAAAATGATTTCTCTCCTGGTACATGTAAACCACCAACAGTAACACACAGGCTAAAGCAAAACATTCCCTTCTGAGTTCCCAATATTGCACGTTTTAATTTACCTATCCATTTCATTTCCATCAAGACTGTTATCTATCATAAGAGCTTTTCAAAAAAGAAATGTTGCCAACAGACTCAAACACCCCATGTACAGTGGTCATTCACAAAACAAAAGGACACAAGAGAAGGAAAACAAACAAGCAAAACCCCTAACCCTGGTGTCAATGGCAACTGTGTAAGACCACTGCCTGTCGTAGGAATACATGGCGTTTACTGAGCTCAGCAGTGTTGTGTCATTATCGGCTGTCGTGCAAGATGTAGACAGCAGCAGTTAACAGGACACTCGCACATCATCAGATAAGTCTTGCCTTCTTTTGTTTAGCAGGTAGTGCCTTGCCAGGTGATGAGCTCAGCTGCTTCTTTGCACTGACTGAACATACAGACTCAGTCTCAGGACAGGTTGAAGGGACATTTTTGTAGCTTTTGTAGCAAAAGACCCCAATGAGCAAGACTTCAGGCGATTTGTCAAAAAAATGACTGACCATGGCCACATTGGGCTGGGACCACTTGGGACAGGTTAAAAAAGGGTGTTTTTATCAGTGGCCATTAGCACAGGAGACAACTATGGAAAGATGACGGCTGCAGTAGGTGCTACGACTCAGACTGTACAACATTCACATCAAACCCCTTTATCAACACATTTGTGAAAGCCAGGTTTTCTTCCCCTTTAAAGTATGCATGAAACAATAAGTGATAAAGCAGATTCGACAAAGTATTAAGGAGCTCAGGTAATGCTGGCATTGAGAGCTGACAACAGTCGATTTTACTTTCAGAGTAGAAAATAAGTAAACTTCAGTGAAACTCACCTGATGGAAGGACACCACAGTCATAGCCAGGGAATGGAATTTTTGTTTGAATTGGTCCACAGTTGAAAGCTCGTCTCTGTTGAACTGGTCATTTTTGTAAAGGATGCCCACCTGTAAAGCAACAACCCTATATCTTGTGACCATTGTTTTAGATAAGAATAGTGAAGAGCAAATTTTAGTTTGTTAAAAGGTAACCTTTCACCTAAATTCCATTAGGAGCCAACAATATACAACCAGGATGTCAATGACCATGTTAAATAAGACAGACACTATCTGCCTTAAAAAATGAAAACAGTGATTTGCTCGCCCTGTGTACAAATAAAAACAAAGGTGTAGCTGACTTAAGGCTGTGCAAGTGTAATGTTTTTTTTTGGGGGGGTGTGTTTATGTGTGTGAGGGTGTGTATGTGTGTGAGTGTGAATATATATGAGCACGTACATGTAAGCCTTTGGGCTATTTCAGTTCCAGGCTTCTCACAAAAAAGTGACTTGTGCAAAACAGCAGGCATTATAGCCTCTTTGATCCTACAAAAACATATGTCTCACGACATGGAGGAATCAAGCACTTGTCAATTTGGGGGCATGTGGAGTTATTGGTATCATTTAAAAGCAGATTTATTTGCCTGTTTCCAATGAAATAAAATATCCATTTATCTTGAATAAAACTCAAGGTATTTGCGATTGAAGGAAGTGGGTCGCATGAATTAAGTGGTGAAATTAGCAAGGAAATGGCCGCCAAAGTTTGGTAACTCCAATAGCTAAAAAAGAGTTTTTGAAAACTGAAAAATGACATTTTGTGCCTTTCAATCAATGTTTTTCAGTAAAATTCACATGGAAATGTGTTTTTATACGAACATAAAAAGAGGTTAAGCCAAAAAAATAAAAATTCAATAAAAGTTTCCAAACTAGAGGAAATGCTTGTTTCTCCGATTTCGTTATTTTTTACGAGCTCCTGATTTCACCATGTTGCCTCACATATATACAAATACCTGTGTGCTCAGAGAGCCAAAGAGATATGGTACTTCTGTGCACCATCTCTACTTTTTTCTTTTCTTCTTCCCTACACAGCCCCAAATGTTCATCCTCAAAACATACTTATTTATAACAAAATATATGGTATTTAACTCAACAAAAAAATGATTAAATGACTATGGAATATTTCTTCCTTACTTGAACAGGAATGTACTACTCACCTTCACTACAGACTTGATGATGTACTTCAACAATTTATCCGCCTCTTTTTTGTTTCCCTTGTACTGCCTCAGCACTTTGTGGGCATTGTCCAGTAGCCGTCCCGTGGTCTCATCAATGAACGTCATAGCAATCTTCTTACTGGACATTTTACCCAGAAGTTTCTTCTGTGCTCGCAGCCCCAGACCACGCGAGTCAAATCCAGCCCCTGGTTCAGCCACTGGAAAGGAGAACACGTGAAAGATGAACTCATACATTTAAGTCTTCCACACAAGCTGGCAGCAATTATTTGATGTGATAACACAATCAGCCCTCCCCATCTAGATCTTGCATGCTGTCAACTTAAGGTTTTTTAACCTGAAATGTAATTTATTTTTTCTACTCATGCACCAGTTTCTTCTGGACTATAATGTCCCTTGCCTGTCAGGAAGCCACACAACATTTGGAAGGTGATCCTATTAATGCATTAAACTAACTATAGTTTCTCCAAGTTTAAATTTTACTCACAGTCAGTCTTCACCACACCCGCCCATGTAATTAAAGAAAATGAGACTTGCGTTAAAGAGCAAGTGAGAAATTGGGGTATACAATATACCACTAAACACTGTTTCCTCACTGCAGATAATAGTATTTGTGGAGTGTCTGACTGCATTCATGTCTGGTGACTGTGTCACCTGTGGTAACTCAGGCTTAAGGAACGCCAGTTGTTGTTATCGATCCAGGAATGAATGCTAGAAAATGCTGGTAGCACTGAAGGCAAAGAAATGATCAAAGTTCTTTTCTTTCTTTTTTTTTAGTTGCATCATCATCTTTTTCATTTACATATTGCACATGTCTCTGCTGCTACATCTTTCTCTCACCTGGAAACTGGTGTCCCTTCCTTCTTCCATTAATTAAGATTAAGCTGTTATCTTCAGTCATTTGTTCCTATATTCTGAAATTGATCTTTGTTGGGGTCATCATGTCCCTTTTGAAGGCACGTTTGTTACTTGTATCTCAAAGTAGATGTTGCCACTTTCTCATGCCAAACTGGGAAAGTGAAACTCTTCCGTTCTATAGATCAATTACCGTCGTGATAAAAGGGTAGTCCAAATAGGGTTTTTTTTTGGTTTGTTGTTTGTTTTTCTTTGAGGTTGTTTTTTTTGGTAACTTATTTGGTCTATATGTTACCCAAATTTAAGCACTTCCCAAAATCTTTGCGCGCTGATTAAATGTTTTACAGGCTTACATGGAGGAGGATAGCAGCATTACAACATCAAAGCAAACACATTCTTCTTTCAATACGCCAAACTTAACTCAGAAGAACCTTCCTCAATAGGTAACACCATGAGTGATGAATTTAAACACAAAAATAGAAATGACATATCTGTAGCATTACATCATAACCATCTGAACTCTGAACAGAAAAAAAACATTAGCTTACTATTGGATACTGGCTGGTTGTTGAAAAATTAAACTCCTTTATCCTTTATGGTGCAAGGTGATCAACACAATAAGACATCAAAGCTGCTCACGACTCTTCCCTGAAAAAGCAACAAAAAGGAACAAAAATAAGAAAATAAGACAACAATTCTGGATAAAATAATCTAATCTACATCCTCACAGCTGCAAATTAAAAAACGACATAATTTTGAAAAATAAATACGTTTTGGCCAATCAACTTTCTGCAACATTATGGTATGTTGCTTTTCTCCATGACGAGTGGGAAACACAAAATAATCATGTATGTACATGTAGGCCTATGTTATATGACGAAAAAGGGGGATTTTTTTAATAAGGGGGGGGGGGGTTGCGAGTCCCAGATCCCAAACCAAGATCTTTGGCTGTCTTTAGGCCGGTACCTAGGACTTCTCTGAGAAGCCCATGGCCAGTACCCCTTCCAAGCTGGGAGTAGTGAGGAACATTCCCATACAGTGCCTTCCCACTGGCACAACATCGGGCACCTGAAGTGGTTCAAACCCCCGACCTTTCAGTTGCCAGCCCAACAGCGTAACTTCTAGATCACCGATGCCAAATGTGTATGTGTGTGAGGGAAGGGGGGGGGTGCAAGAGGCGGAGATATTAAAATTACAAAAGCTAACACAGGGTACCAGTTTGCACAACAGTAACCAATACACAACCATGGCAAACCATGTAAAACCAAGCGACCTACGTGCGTGTGTGCGAGCCATCAATAAAAACTTTCTCACAAAGAGAGGCCCTCAGCAAGACTTACAGTAACTCGGCCGGCAATCTACACCCCAGGAAAATTATTATCAAATATTTAAAATTTGGCTAGCTGCCATAACGTGCCGTTGTTTGTACAGGTGATTGTCTTGGACTGGTGATCGTTATTAAAGCAGATTCGACTGTAAAAGGAGCAAGCCACACACAAGAAAGATCCCGCCACCCACCAACATACATGTCTTGATGTAATTAACTTAGCTTCAAATTGCATTTTCTGATACGCCGTGTGTGTGTGTGTGCCTGTGTTTGTGTTTGTGTGTGTGTGTGTGTGTGTGTGTGTGTGTGTGTGTGTGTGTGTGTGTGTGTGTGTGTGTGTGTGCGTGTGTGTGTGAGTGAGTGCGTACGCGTGCGTGTGTGCGTACGCGTATGTGTGCGTGCGTGTGTGTGGGTGTGAGCGCGCACGTGCGTGTGTGTGTGTGTGTGCGCGCGCGCGCATGTGCGTGTGAATGTGGAGGGAGAGGGAGGGGGGAGAGAGAATGGTCAAACGTAGACGGGCTGTCGATAAACAATTGCAATAGAAGGCACCACGAGCGAGCACCGTGTTTAATCAACACGCTGGGGACTCCGGACTCGGACATTGCCGGGCAACGGACAGCCGCCCTGCACCGCCCAGCGAGTTTCTGTTTTATGACAACAGGTACTGTTTGAGTCCAAAGAGAGCCTCAGATAGCCAGTCTCTCCGAGGCAAATATTCCCAGCCAATCAATAAGCTGGTTACATTATATTGCTGATTGGGATCCGGATTTTTCTTTGTGTCACAAGAACGGATGTTTGTTGAATTTGTTTGAGGTTTTTCCCCCCTTCCTCTCTTCCTATTATATGAATGTGTGTGTGTGTGTGTGTGTGTGTGTGTGTGTGTATGTGTGTGTATGTGTGTGTGTGTGTGTGTGTGTGTGTGTGTGTGTGTGTGTGTGTGTGTGTGCGTGTTGAGGGGGGGGGGGGGCGCGAGAATAATGAGGAAATCAACGATTGTTTCTCAGCAAACAAAAATTCTCGAGGGGGTAGAGGGGGAGGAGGAATGCTCACTGCCCAGCTTCTCTTTAGCGAGTCTGTAATATTGTATAATGTACGTTATTTTTTTCCGAGTTTAATTGGTTGAGATGGGACGGCTTTGGTGGCTGTAGATCTCCTTACATTGTGCAATTTTGGTTAGGTGTTGTTTGTTTGTTTGTTTTGTTTGTTTTTTTTTGCTTTTTTTTTAATTGGGGGGGGGGGGTGAGATTGGTCAGTTCGTGGTGATGTCGTGTGGCTTGGTTAGTTTGGGCGAATCTTTTCTGTGTTCTTATATTTTATGTCGGGTTGTTTTGGTTTTTTGGGGTTTTTTTATATTGTTGTTTGTGTGTGTCGCGTGGTTTGGGGGGGGGGGGGTAAAAAGAGGGGAGCATGGAAGGGATATTGTAGACAGTACGTACCGCTATTACGGACTGAAAAATCCTTGGTATCGCATACAAAGATTGCACCACAAAGGATGAAGTCAAACAACGAATCAAAAATGAAATCAGACCATATGCTGACCTCATTCTGGTCAGAAACGCAAACTGCAATGGTATGGACACATCACCCGTCCATACGGCCTTGCCAAGACGATCCTGCAATGCAGCGTCCAGGGGAAAAGGAGCAGAGGCAGACCGAAGAAGAGTTGGGGGGGCAACATCAAGGAATGGACAGGCCTGGAACTCAAAGACACGTTCAGTAAAGCTGAAGACGGGAAGGAGTGGAGGAAGCTGGTGGCCAAATCTTCAAAAGCTCCCTAACGGACATCCAGTCTACAGGATAGGTGAAGGTGAAGTAAAACGTACTGCTATACATTATAATTATTATTTTATATACACATTTAATAATAACGGGAAAAGTGTGCTTTTATTGCTCTCTTTTTTTTTTGGGGGGGGGGGGGATTTTAGCTTTAGTTTTGTTTTATAGTTGGTGGTTAGTTTGTGGTCCCTTCTCAGGGCGGGGCGGTGCGGGAGAGGGGGGTGGTGGAGGAGGAGACTACAAATAATGATCGTAACTAATTAAAACTAATGTTCTTTTCTAAAAATAAAAACGTGAAAGGACAAGCAGCTCCATTACAATACACGTATACAAGATACACAGTCCACAACCACTATTACATTATCTTCAACTTCATCCATCGGGACAGCCATTGGTGGGATCTCTCTCTCTCTCTCTCTCTCTCTCTCTCTCTCTCTCTCTCTCTCTCTCCCCCTCTCTCTCTCCCTCTGTTTAGCTCTTCTCCAATCACTAAATCATGACCGATAGCGTGGCGTAGACGTGCTTATCTTTAAATACTCAAAACCGAAACTCAAATCGACATCCAACTCCGAACAGATCACAATCGGACAAGCCCATCCCAAGGAACTTTGCAATTGCGAGAGCCGTAAAACACTTACCACAAAAAAAGGAACTTTCCACAAGGCCCGTGTTTCATAAGCGTGGCGTGAAACGAGCAAAAACTTCCTGCAGTCCCAGTCCCAATGAGCACAAACAGAGGACTAGCACGGCTAATATTTGACGGGGTCCGTTTGCCTGCTCTGTCCTCTCCGTCTCAGAGAACGATGTGCTTTCAAACATTTTCGCGTTACGATAACATGGAGGGAGGGAGGGGGGGGGCTGTTGATGTTGGTGTTCCTTCTTAACTCTCAAGCCGAATGAAAGAAGCAAAATTCTACTGTACTCGGAATTTGAGTAATAATACCAACGACAGGCTGTACAGAAATACAACGCTACAATAACGGTGCAATCTGGCGTTGTAAACAACAAATCAGACAGACAGACAGACAGACAGACAGACAGACAGACAGACAGACAGACAGACAG